TTGCTTCCTGAAGAGTAGAAGAGAGCTGGAGAGAGAAAAGGGCCCCATCCTGGGCAGACACCTCTCTCCTGAGAGAACACCACACGGAGGGCCGCCATCACGGCGGACACCGCGTCTGGAGCACTCGGGAAAGGCTGCACCCAGGAGGAGACACTGCAGCTGAGGCCTGAGGAGATTCCCAGCAGGAGGGGCCGTGCGGGAGAAGGAAGAGGTCCTGAAGAACCACCGCGGGCTGGCGAGGTTTAAGCTCCTCCTCGCTGTGGTTGCAGAAAGGATTGTCCAAGAGCCGGGATGGGGGGGGGCAGCGGGTGGAGGGTGTCTGGAGATGAAGCTAGAGGGTGAGGGTAGGAAGACCTTTCAAGAAGAGAGTTACGATTGACTTCGGTGCCGAGGCAGAGCGAAGGCGCTGATCGTGTGACCCGGAGCGCGGCCAGCTCCGCCCGGTACAGTGAAGGTGGGAGCGGTGTGGAGACCCAGGAGCCGCCGGACCTCACTGCGGGCAGTGCCATGGCTCTGCTGGAGAAGGGTGGGAGACGCACGGACAGAGGGGAACTGGTGACTGGCTGTGGGCGGCCCTTCAGCCAAGGAGGAGCTCCGGGGGCCGACCTGGGGCTGAAAGAGCTCTTGGGGCCTCCCTTCAAGCCCACGAATGCAAGAGAAACAAATGCAAAGGAGATATTTGAGGTCAGTGTTGGCATCGCAGGTCTGAAATACAGGACAGCCGGGGATGCGTGGAAGGCGGCTGGCAAGAAGGCAGAGCCCACACACCTCCAGAGCAGCGACAGGATCCGGGCCTTGCCAGCCTGGGTTCAGAGCCAGGGGAACGAGTCTGATGGCCAAGGGCAGGCCTGAAAAGCCGAGGCTGGACCCTGGCAAAGAGCAAACTGCTGAGGGGAGACACTGTGACTCTGGGGTGACGACATGGGCAGAGAGGAGAGAGTGGAGTTGAGAATAGGCTGGGGCTGGAATCTTGAGACTCCATTGGCACCATGAGGCGGTCGGGAAGAGAAGGGACTTGGGAGATGGAGACAAGATGGGACAAGAAGAAAGCCCGCTGCTGTATATTTACATTATAAATGGCTGCATGGTTTTTAAAGGTTGTCCAGTCAGCACCGAAAAATGATTCTTGGAAAAGCCACCGGGCGGGGAGTCAGAGAGCATCTCTCTTGTCCTGGCCCCACCCGTCGTTCGGCTGTTTACTGAGTGTTTCCCACATGCCGTGCACATGTACAGGCTGCAGAGGGGAGGTGCTGGGCCCCGTGGAGCTAAGTAGTAGGGAAACTAACCAAACACATACAAAGATCTGTAAATACAAGACTCCTAAGTTCTTTTAAATAACAGGTGTAGAATATATGTGAACACAGGAGTTTTTCCTAAAAATGAGCATCAGGGAAGCCTAAGAAATAATAGTTGAGCTGAGAGCTGATACAAGAAGCAGCAGCAAAAGTGGGACAGTTGCTCCAGGGGAGGAGACAGCCTGTGTGGAGGGGCTGGCAGTGGAGGAGCAGGGCCATCTGGAACTGCTGAGAGAAGGTGTTGTGGGGACGGGGTCACAAAAGAGGTCTCGACGGGGCCCGGGGAGATGGGCCGGGTCCTCACTGTGGGCCCTCTACTCTTGCGGTATTTCTTTTGGACAAGAAATGACCACGTGGACAGAGAGGTAGGAAGGACCTGGGCTGATGTGTCAGACATTTAAAAGGAGAAATAGGTAGAACTTGAAAGACTGGACAGCAGGGGTGGGAAGAGGGATTTCAAGGTGCTGCTCGGGTTACTCTCTGCCTGGACAAGGGGATGGATGGGGCGGCCGTTCAAGGATGGAGACACTACAAGAGCAGAGAGGCTGGTGGTGAAAGAGGTTCAGAAAGCTGAGGGTGTGTCTGGTTCAAGGTGCATTTGAGGGGCCGAAGTACAGATTCCTAAATGGGCTTGGGGCACACACATCGGAAGTAAAGGTCTGGAAAGGAGGTAACGACTTGGGAATCGCCGGTATCCACATGGCCATGTCCAGCAGGGTCTTGACAGGGCCATGGGGCACAGTGTGTGGTGAGAAGACGATTCAGGCTGCGCGTTGAAAAGGTGTGGAAACCTTGAGACGTCCAGGTAGAGAAAGGGAACGGCCAGTGAGAACGTGTGACCAGACAATCCTGTCCAGAACAGCAGGGAGAGCGAGCTATTTCCTGATGCGGGGAGGGCCTGCACTTCAGGGCCCCACCTGTTTCCAGGAGGAGGTGTCTGCAGACCTGGAGCCCTGACAGAGCTTGAGGAGCACTGACAGCCACCCAGTGCCTTCCCACCCGGTGACTCTCAGTTCTCGGGGGACCATTCACACTCACCTCATTCTTCCGGGCCTCTTTAGAACAACAAAAGAGCCAAAAAGTATGAATTTGCACTGGCTGATATTCCAGGTCTTTGGCATAATTGCATGGGAAGTAGCTGCCCTGAGCATTCCTGGCATCCTGCCCTCAGGATTTTTCTCCTGCTGTCCCCCCAGGAACCTGGAGATCCCCAGAAACTACTTTGGGGCCTTGAGTATTACCTTGAACACCCCAATTCTATGAATAAACTGGGTAATAAGTTGCTAATGATGAAAGGGCTCTCTATGGGATGGAAGAAGCTTCTGGCATTCAGGGAAAGCCTAGCCAGTACACTGCTCCCTCCCCCCGGGCGCAGCGGGGCAGGTCACACACCCTTCCCAGGAGGACTTCTGGGCAGCCCAGGACTTGGTCTCCAAGAGGGAAGGGGCCGGCAGAGGCTGCTCCCCACACAACATGGGCATCCAGACATCGAGCTGGCATGACCGTCCCTTCCCCTCACTGCAGAGGGGCGAGCTACCTAGCGCCAACCTCCTGCTCTTCCTCTAAGTCGCTGTGGCAACAGAGCCAACCACAGCCGGCTGCAATATGCAAGTGATTCATCTCCAGCCTTCTGTCTTCCCTCGAGGCAGCTGTCCTGTGCTGCCTGCCCTGGCCTCACTTGCTCCTTTGCCCCGGGGAGTGCAGGCTCTCCAGATTCCTGAGCCCCAGCCCCTCCCGGGCCAAAGCAGTCACATGGCTTTCCCGATGCTGCAGCACAGAGGCTGGGGCTGCTTCCCGCCGCCAGCCAGCGCGCCCTGAACTCAGAGGCTGGACTCTTAGTGGAGCCTTGACTGTGCAGGACAAAAGCTAATCCACTTGTGGCCGCTGAGGGTGGCCCAGTGGTGCAGAGAGCCAGCCCGGCTGTCTGGTGCTCTCTCCTGAGGGAGCGCAGATGAGCAGCGAGGCCAGGCGGGCCTGCCTGTCTCGCACTGTGAACCGGGTCTCTGCCCGGTGAGGCCCTGTGAAAGGCAGCGCTCTGAGGCTCACCCTTTTTTTTCAATTATTTCTTTTTTATTTCTAAAAAAAGACAGCTTCTCAACTGGGTGTCTTCCCATCCGCCAGACAGCAGCTAAAGCATCTATTCATTTCCGAGGAGGCTCGTGGTCAGGAGGGAGTTCTGGAAGTCACCTCTCTGTCCGCTCACCTTTTAAGCGCCTCCTCCCCAGGGTCCCTTCTGTCCCAGATCCGGTCAGCTGTCGTGTGTTTCGCCAAATGTTCATACTGCCGAGACCACAGGCAGATGAATCACTGCCTGCCTGACTACATTAAGCTGAAGTGTGCCCCGGGCAGCGCCTCGGACAGAATGACTCTCCAGGACCACCGCCTTCTCTGCAGCCTGTCCGGTGGGGGCCTGCAGCACAGACATTCGTCCAATGAACAAGAGCAAGGATCACTTCAGATGTCGTAGAGAGCAAAGAAACCCCTTATTTAAAAAAAATATATATGGATGATCTTTCAAATCATTTTATTAGCCTTGGCAAGGTGGCGATCCTTTTATGGATAAATTTTATTTTATAAGCCGGTGTCAAGGGCTCAGTGAAGTGTCACGTGGTCCTGTTTTAAGTAAGGGTGGTCATAACCTGGGGTAGTTGGAGTTTGAAAATGAATTTACATATTTAAGTTTGTCGTTGAACTCTGCTTCATGAAGATCAGATTTATTAAAAATGCAAACTAGTCATTAATCAATAAAGTACAAAACCAGACTTTAGCTCTTCCTATGAGAAATAACATCCTTGCTGCCCTGTGAAGTTGGTGTAGGAACTCAAAACTTCCCTGTTTAAGCTAATGCAATAGCATTGCCAGACCAATTAGAGTCCTTCTAATTATCAGCCGCCAGCACTGAATCTGATGTGGCTTTTCCAGCTTACAGAGTTCACTAAAAGTCATTCATCTAACTATGATGGCCAATTACATTTTGGCACCCTCTTTTGTAGAGCTGGGTGAGCTGAACAGTAATAACATGCAACCAAAAATATAAAGTTATGTCTTAAGACATCATGTATACTCTGAAGGGAGATGTGTCAGTAGAGGGATGACTTCAAGATTGTTTTTAATAATGCATTCGTGGATGGTTAAGAGAAAAAATATTCACAACTCCATCATAGTGATAAAAGCAGTAAATTTGAAAATAGAAAATAATCGTAGTTTTTTAAATACCGAAGAAATTCAAAAATTGCCCATTTGAGGGCTTCCCTGGTGGCCTAGGGGTTTAGTCTCAGTTCTAGCACCTCTCCAGCCTGAGTATGACCCCCACCCAGGGAGCAAACATATATGGCACAGCAGACCTCTCCTGTCTCGCCCGCTGCTCCCCTCAGCAGTGCATTTCGTCAGTCTGCCTGTTCTGTTCCCTGCTCTGTCTCTGGTGAATCCTCTCACCCCCTGCACCTCTAGCCTGTACCCCATTTCTACACAGAAATATATAAAATCTAAAAAAAAAAACCCAACAAATATTTCCCATTTGAATCACTAGTACTTGCTTCTTCGCTTTATGCCATTTTAGCTATGGAAGATTTCCTAGGAACATTCTACTCTCGGGCAATGGGGAAAACTAATGCTACATTTAAGGGGAAGAGCAGCATAATTACAGTAATATTTTATATGGCTTCTGTCTTGTATTTTCACCAAACTCTTTATCTTTGCCTTTAGCGCGGAAGCAAGAGATTATCAAAGTCACTGAGCAGCTGATCGAAGCGATCAACAACGGGGACTTCGAGGCGTACACGTGAGTACAGGCACGGCTGGCAAACTTCCAAGCCCGCAGCCTTCATATTTTCCATATGAATGCATTCTTCCAATGCCTGAACTCATGTACATTTAACCCCAGGTTTCATTTGTCAACATAGCTTTGTTTCAAGATACAAATGACCTCAGTATCTTCAGGAGAGAAATAAATGTAACTGAGGTTCAGTGAGAGAAGACAAGACTTCCGATAGGAGGCTGGGTTAGGCCCTTGTCAGCACACCAAAGCATAACCACTTCTAACTGAGAGAAGGCATTCCAGATGAGAACAGCAAAGCACATGAAGCTAAACATACTCCCTCGGCCATGGCGTGGAGAAAAAGGAACCTTTGTACAGTTGGCTAAAATGTCCACTGCTCACAGCTGTGTGGAGATTTCTGGACCTACTAAACATAGAGCTTCCATAGGATCCAGCAATTCCACTCCTAGGTATTTACCCAAAGGACACAGAAACATCCATTCCAAAGAGCACCTGCACCCCTATGTTTATAGCAGCACTGCTTACAATAGCTAAGCTTTGGAAACAACCCAAATGCCCAAAAATAGATGACTGGATCAAGAAGATGTGGTCCATATACACCATGGAATATTACTCAGCATTCAAAAAAGATAAACACATGCAATTTGCAGCAACATGGATGGCGCTGGAAGGGATCATGCTCAGCGAAATAAGCCAGAAAGAAAAAGAAAAATACCGGATGGTCTCACTCATAGCAGGAATCTAGAAAACTTAAATAAGGGACCAGGAAAATGAATAACTATAAGAAAGTGAAAATCAAAATCAACAAACAACTATGAACCAGAGACACACTATGGGGGGTAGGTGGTGGGGAGGGGAGGGACTGGGGTCAAAATAAGGGGGTTGCAATTGTATGGGGAATATAAAAATAAAATTTATTTTAAAAAATAAATAAATAAATAATAACATGTCCACTGCTCCAGGCCCTGTGGAAAACAGCATGGAGGTTCCTCAGAATATTAAAATAGATCTACCACATGATGTAGCAATCCCTCCCCCAGGTGTCTATCCCACAAATGCAGGCACACTAATTTAAGGGAATACCTGCACTCATGTGTTCCTTCCAGCACTTGTTATAATTGCCAAGTTATAGAAGCGACTTAAGGGCCCGAGGAGAGATGAGTGGGTTAAGAAGCGGTGATGGGCATGTGCACTGTGGAATACTACACAGCAGGAAAAAATGAAATCTTGCCATTTCTAACAACATGGATAGGACTGAGAGAGAGAATGCTAAGCAAAATGATTCAGAGAGAGACACCAGATGATTTCAGTCATATATAAAACAGAGAAATGAAACAAAAGGTCAATTAAACTAAACCAAATCAAACCCTAGACATGACTGTAAAAACTGAGGCTACCAGGAGAGTGGGGAGCCAAGTGGGAAGGGACCCAGGGACCTGCAGTGACTCCTGTGCCTTTGAATCATACATGATGAATCATACCTCCATGCATCAGTGTTGCCTCAATAAAATACAAATCTATGAATAAAGGAGGCTTTTCCTTGCATTTCTGCAAAGGTGCTGGGACAGGAAATAAGAATAGAGGTGCCGTGGGCCAGGCAGCTTCTTCCTCTTCAGCCAACCCAGAACCACTTTATCTTTGCCTCTACCTTTGTGCTTTTCTTCGGATAATGTAAAGAAAGGGTTCTGATGCTTCTAATGCTCAGTTTAAAGTCTGTGAGCTATCGCTTCTCGGCCTTTTGGCTAAGATCAAGTGTAAAGTCTGTGAGCTACTGGATCATAGGCTATAGAAAGGAAACCACTGTCCCAGACCACCTGCGCCATTGGTTAGAATGTAAACTGGTCCAGCGCCTGAGGAAAACAGGATGGAGGTTTCTCAGAATGTGCCAGTAGATCTACCGTAGGACCCACCAGTCTGACTCCCTGGTGTTCTACTCAAAGTTTGCCAACACACTAATGTGAAGGGATGGATGCACTCCCGCGTTCACTGCATCACCGTAACCAAGCGTGGAGACAACCTAAGTGCCCAAGGCCAGATGAGTAGATGAGGATGACAGGGCATATACGCAGTGGAACACCACGCAACCAAAAAAAGACACCGAACGCTTGCCATCTGCAACAACATGGATGGAACTGCAAGGAGGATATGCGGGGTGCAGCAGACCAGAAGAGAAAGACACATCCTGGATGGTTTAAGTCATAGGTGGAAAACAAAGTCAGCTTCAGAGAATAACCCAACCAGTAACAAATCCTCGAGAGCTGATGGTAAAACTGAGGTTACCAAAGGGAAGCCTGAGGATCGAGCAGAGAAGGGGGAGGGAGCACCATGCAGTGCGGTGAAGGCTGCGGGAGGCTGCGGAGGGTGTGGTGATGTGTGCCTGAAGGAATGGGAGCCTCGGTGTCTGAGTCACGGCCTGTTGAAACCACTGTCACCCTAAAAAAAATCCCCTTTCAAAAAAAGGAGGTCCTCCTGTAGTAACATTTCCCTGTGGGAGAGTAAAAATATGCTTTGTGGGAATGGTAAGCAGACAGAAGTGGGTACTTCCTATATTAATTATAGGAGAGTTTAAAGGAGAGTATGTTCAATCAATCCCTTGGGGTCAGGGTGTTCACTAATTCCTTTGTCCATCGGGCCTGGTTTTGTACACTCAGGGGCAGGAATTATCCAATAGGCTCTTCCATTTGGGAGCTTATTGGGTGTAGGATGTGAAGGTAAAGCTCTGTCAGCTGCAGCGTGTGCATGCACAGCCTCGTGAAACTTATTTTTTATAGGACACAGATATGTCCATACATAGGCAGACACACATAGAGCGGGAGCAAAAAGACACATTACTGGGTATTCAAATGTATGTCCTCTCCATAGCACGGTAAAAAGATCCATCATAGGGCATCTCTGGTGGTGCAAGGCGGGAAGTCCCAGCACTATGAAGCTTTTGGCAGCCACTGCAGCATGAGTTGGAACCGAGTTCCATCCCTAGCCAGGGAGCTACCCACATGGTGCAGCAGACCTCTCCTGTCATGCCCGCTGCTCCCCTCAGCAGTGTATTTCAGTCAGTCTGCCTGTTCTGCTCCCCACTCTGTCTCTGGTGAATCCTCTTACCCCTACACCTCTGGCCTGCACCCCAGCTCTTGTATGCAAAATAAATATATCTTAAAAAAAAAAAAAAGATCAGCATAGCACAGTGATTCTCGGATGATTTCAGTGCAGATAGGTAGTCAAAATTTTCACTTCACCGATCTTGACAACCAAAAGTCCTATTTATAGAGGCTGTAATAGCCCCTGGCAGAATAAATCCCTGTTACTATAGGAACACTGTTGTTCCCGGTTTGCTTAGGATGAGGTTGCATATACGTGTCTGTGAGCTTGAAAACGCCTGTTCATTATGAAGTCTGAGGCAAAGTTAAAGCCCTGCCTTGTCTGGACCCACCCCTGCTTCTATGACCTTCTTCACACAAAGAACCACCCACTGGCACTTTGTATTTTTCAAACTATTTTCTACTTTAAAGGTGTTCTTAAAAAGACATCCGTTCCAGGCCCCACACTGATCAGTACTTTGAAGGACCATGCTAAGTTAGCCTCGTGAGGCTTGTGTTTTGGTTGAGCAGTTAAGATGTTTTGCCTCCAAATGGGGAGTTTCCATATTAAATCAGATGTCACCCCATTCACTGTATTGTCCTGAGTCACATAAACCCAAATCCTACAATTGTACTCTTTTTTTTAATCTGCTAACTCTTCAAATCCAGATTTTACCTTCTCTGAGAAGACTCCCCTGATTGCCATCAGCTTGAGGTCGAGGTCGTATTTACCCCTCTATTTTTCCACGGGACTTACAACCCTACCCAGTGACCTGACCTGCTGTGTACCACAGCCAACAAGTAACCATCTTTCCCCAACATACCATGTTTCACACTCCTGTGCCATTCATACTCCCTGCCTTCCCCTGCCTGCTGCCTCCCCCGACTCCTGTAAAACTCCTACTCACTCCTAAAAACCCAACTCAAATTCTATGTTATCTTAAATCTTTTCTGTCCCATGTATTTGTGGCCTGGACTTCAAGCACTTTGTTTCTATTTCTAGTGTTTTTTTTTTTATTAGCGTTTATTTATTATAGAATAATTATTGTTTTTTAAAGATTTATTTATACAAGAACTGGGGTACAGACCAGAGGTGTGGGAGGGTGAGAGAATTCATCAGAGACCAAGCAGGGAGCAGAACAGGCAGATGGACTGAAGACACTGCTGAGGGGAGCAGCGGGTGAGACAGGAGTGGTCTGCCGCACCATGTGGGTATCTCCCTGGCCGGCCTGGAATCGAACCCATGCTGCAGAGGCTGCGGACAGCTTCACAGTGCTGTGCTCAACCCCCTGGGCCACCTGGGAGGCCCTCTATATCTAGTGTTAAATGTTGTTGCAAAACATATCTGCTACAGTGTAGGTACAAAACAGTTCTGTCTGAGATAAATAAGTTTCTCCAAAGAAAATCCACATCACATCATATGGTGTGTCTCTTTGTTAAATAAAAGAAAATTAATTTTAAAGAAAACTAATCTGTACATTTAAACCTCTTCTAAGATGTGTAAAGTTACATAAACCTGAAAAACAGCTTAATCACACCGTGTGGACACGCAAGGTACAGGATAGGGCACCTGCCTTGAAATGCTTCCTGATGCATTTGACAGGAATATAAAGGTGTTGGAGAAGATCCCGAAAACAATTTCAGAACCAAAGGTAGTTTCATAGAACTTGAGTGTGTCTGGGAGAACTTTCGGAAAATAAATTTCAGTTAGGAAACCAGGAAAGTCTGGAAAATTCACATTGGAAAAAAAAAAAAAAGTAGAAGTGTTTAAAAAGGAGATTTCTAAAGTAACATCCATAAGATTGTCCCCTAGCCGGGACTGGTTAAGTTATCTTACCCTCAAAGTTTTCTGCAAAATCCTATCTTGACACTGCTCCTCAAACCATTTTTCCAAGTCTGTGGTGGAAGTTTTATATTTTTACTATTTTTTTAAGACATTGATTCACTGTCTGAGCAATAAGAATGAAGACAAGGAAACAAGAAATTACGTTAACTCATTATTTTTATTATTTTCTTCCTACAGAAAAATCTGTGACCCAGGCCTTACTGCCTTTGAACCTGAAGCCTTGGGCAATTTAGTGGAAGGAATGGACTTTCATCGATTCTACTTTGAAAATGGTATATTTTTAATTTAGTAACATGTTTTTTCCCAAATTCCCTTTGACTTTATTTCAAATTTGTAGATTCTTTTCCGCAATGAGAATTTCAACTGCCCTCCAGTATTTTATATATTTAAATATTCCTCGTGTTTTATAAATAGTTCTAGTACTTGAAATTTAAAAAATATATATGACAGACTTATTATAAGTTGTATGTATTTTGAAAGATACTGGCTTTGGTTAAAAAAAAAATGTTAATTGAATACACCTCCTAAATCCCTGTAATTATATGCTGTGAACTACAAAATGCTTTGCCACGCTGAGTTCTTCCAATTTTCATAAAACACTGTTTAGATAGGAGAAAATAAAAATTACAGCATGCCAGAATATTCCACTGGAGGAGTGTTTTCAAGCATATTTAGTGCTCATTTTTAAAGTGAAAGATACATGAAGATGAGTAATCACATAAATCATTCAGTGCAGATCACAAGAATCTTAGTGGTTTGTTCAAAGAGCAACACTGTAGAGAAAATAACAGAAAAAAACAACTTGCAGAAATCCTTGAGGTCATCAGGAAAAGTGTAGACAAGAAACCCCAGGTGTCCCTTTCCATTCCTTAACAGCGAGAGGCAGGCTAGGTGCTGTCAGTGTCCACAGGGTGCACGTGTTAAAGAAGACCCACGGCCATCACCACACGATCAAGCTCACCTCATCGTGAGCATTCGCGAGCATGTCTGCTTTGGCCCGGGCTTTTAGGTTCGGATATGTTTTTTGAATTTCACATATACATGAGGCATTTGCAAGCAAGTGAACTGAGAGAATGATGTAGTACCTCGGCCGTAGCAAAGGCCCTCGGGGTCAGTGGTTCTAGCCCTCCACCAGCAGCTGTTCCTGTCAACTGTGTATTTTGATAAGAACTGAAATATGAAAACTTGAACTCAACGTGGTAAATCATTTTGCAGTTTATAGCATATTATCACTGAGATTTAGGGGGTGTATTCACTTAACTTTTTTTTTTTTTACGAAAGTCAGTATTTTTCAAAATACATAAATACTCTTTCAACTCATCCCATCTGAATCTCCAGCAAAATAAATACTCGGTTAATGTAATGTCACCTACTTCAGCATGCCACTCTACTCGTTCCTTTCCAAGGACATGGTATCCATGTCCTTGGGTATTTTTTCACCTGACTGTAGCACTGAGTAATTTCAAGAGACTTCTGTCTCTGGATGGAACATGGGTTAGGGTAACCAGCAGGGCAGCAACCTGTTTTGTGAATTCCTAGCCACATCACCAATCAATAATCCTCACTGAACATTATAATTTTCGATTGCTGAGCGATGGGAAAGAGTAACTACTCTCAAAACCACAAAGGCAGGAGCTTGCCTCAAGGTCAAGTGCTAAAGGACCAGACCCGGCTGTATGGGCAACACTAAGCCTTGATCTTACTGGATGCCCAAGTGGGCTCCTGTGAACAGACTCAGTGCCTGAGTCACAGATGTGGGAAGGCTCCATGCTGTGGCCAGCCCTTGTGCAGAGAGCCTCGCCCTGTGCACTTCGCCAGCTAACAAAGCTGATCGTGGCCACAGGACATCCTGGCAGCGGCCCCCGTGGAAACACAGGAAGTGCCTGTGTCCCTGGCCAGGCCTCTGCATGTCTGCTTGGAACCGTCTCCCATGATGCATACACAGAGACAGCCACCATGCCAGTCCCCCGCCCCCAGTCTAAGTTTCCAGAGTGGCGCACATATGGTCTGCAAAAGGCATACGAGAAAAACACACCTGCTTTTCCTGCTCTTCCTCTACACCGTGCACGGCGCCCGGCACTCGGCGTGCACATCACCAGTAGGCGGGCGGGTGACCGGCGCTGAATCTTGCTGATCTGCTGATCGTGTTGTCCCTTTCAGCCTTGTCCAAAAGCAACAAACCCATTCACACGATCATCCTGAACCCGCACGTGCACCTGGTGGGCGAGGACGCCGCCTGCATCGCCTACATCAGGCTCACGCAGTACATGGACGGCAGCGGGTTGCCCAAGACCATGCAGTCGGAGGAGACGCGCGTGTGGCACCGCCGGGACGGGAAGTGGCAGAACGTCCATTTTCATCGCTCGGGGTCCCCCACCGTCCCCATCAAGTAAGCATTTCCAGGCTGCCCCCGGCTTTGTCAGCCACCCCCAGTGGGCACAGGTCCTTCCCTGGTGTGGTTAGCATGCTGATGCCACTTAATGCTCCTGGTCACCGGCGAGTGGGTGCCCAAGAGAAGTCCCCAAGGCTCCGGAGCCACCCCGCCGCCTGTGCTGAAATGCCGCAGGGCGGCTTTAGGGAGCCAGGAGGGGGCGCCTTAGCAAGCTGATTTCTCCGAGGGCGACGTCAGACCCCCGCGAGGGGCGCAGGGGCAGATCCGAAGGGAGAAATTTATCCAATGCAGTAGTTACAGGGGATCAGCTTCTCCACAGCCACGGCCCCCGCTAGCTCTCCCATCGTAACAGGGACACTCTTACTGCGCATCGCCAGGTACTTCAGTCGCGCCAGGTCAGATATGAAAGACATCAGCCCCGCCTGGAAGGAGGGATAGGAGCCGTAGCTTTGGCCAAAAGGGGGCGGGGGTGGCTGGAGGCCAAAGTGCTGGGTCCACCGGTCCACCGGTCCACCGGTGTGCTGCCTGTGCAGAGGGAGCTCTGGCAAGGCCTCTGATGCGTAGTTTGGAGACAGAGAGCAGAGAAAGAGCAGCAGAAGGCTAATCCCGGTTCAAGGGACATCTGGAGGCGGGGCAGGCTCAGGGCAAGGCGTGTAGCTCCCCGGAGGCTGGCCAGGCAGGAGGGGAGAGGAACAAGGTTCCGTCTGTACTGCGAGCTGGGCTGAGAACGAGGAGGGTGGTTGAGATTTGACCCTGTGGAGATTTCAGCCCTAATCCGCACCGCGAGCACTTGTCAGCCTTCTGGGGCATCACGTTTATGCAAAGAGCCAATCAAGTCACTGGGCATCAGCATTCTTGCACCTCGTCGTGTCCCACGGTGGTTTTCAAAGGCCTTCTCTAAAGCCTCACTAATGGTCTCTCCCTGCTGAATTTGTAAGACGTGGCTGTTAACAAGAACCCCAAAATTGAAATTCATCCCGAAACAAGAGCCGAGGAGGACTTGTGTTTTTTACCCCAAAGAGGTCCAGCACACGTCACCAGGGAATACGGGGGGACTCCACTGACACTGCAGTCCTAGAGGGTTAGGTTTTTCTCCAGTTCCCTGAGCGTTTATGGGATACAGCCTATTTAAGACAACTTCATTTTATGCCAGGGGGCTTAAATGGGGCTTCTCTTAATAGGCCTTCCTGTATTCCAAATGGGAAAGAAAACTTCTCAGGAAGCACCTCTTTGTGGCAAAACATCTAAGGCCTGAAAACCACTGACATGTGGGTCTTGTAAGTAACACCCTGCTCCGTGGCCAGCTGTGGGGCCGCCGCCCGCTGGAAGGCTGCTGGCTGTGTGCTCCCCTGTGAGGGCATTTTCTCTTGCCTTGGAGGCGATGAGACATTAAAGGGCTTTGAAAAGTCATTAGCATGTTTTTGCATGAGCTCTGGAGTGTCAGTCTGACCCCACTGTGCAGTGTGGCCATTAGTTGAAGTCAGTAACGAGAAGCGTCCATCCACACCAGGCGGGTGGAGCTACAGACCAGACCGCCTCTCCTGCCTGGGTCCAGGCAGACAACGCCCAAGTCTCCGGACCTAATTTAATTTAGATCAAGCTCTGGAATCCTTTGGAGTCTTATGGTTTTCCAGCAGGTTGCCACTCCCGCTCCTTGCTTGGCTAAGGTTAATTTTTAAATTCATTGGCCACGCCTCGCTGAGCCATGGTGTAGACCATCAAGACGGTCAATCCATTTGGCAGCGACAGTCCTTGTCAGAGTGACTGCTCGGGGTCCTTCCCCAAGGAGTCTAAGAATAATGCAAAACACTAAAGATGCCCTTCGACGTCAGCCCAGTGATAACAACCACTAGCTCACTTGCCTAGCAAATAGGAAGGCTTCAAATGTGAATTTCGACGTACCACTGGCATGAAAACCTGGGTCTCTATTTCTTAACTCTGTGCGGACAAGTTGACAGCTGACCGATGCCGGTGTCCTGTCTCCCTGCTAGATCCAGTGAACGCGATGGGGTGTGTGTTTTCTGAGCACCCGAGCTGAGATCTCCAGGTGCTATTTTCAGTCTAGCCGTCGAGCTGCCTTTGTAGCGTGTAGCCCAGGCACACCTCGGGCAACGCGGGGAGGGTATTGTGTCAACTAATGTAACGTGTTTCTCCTGCCCCCCTTTCTCCTTCCAGCTAAGCCCCCACAGTGCTTCTTCTGCATCCTGTGTCCTCCGGGCGCCTGGCTGGTCCCCCGGTCGTTTGCTCCTCCTCTTCATGCATGTTACCGAGTGCATGAAGCAGTGAAGGTCGTCCACGTAATGCACCCGTGATCCATCATCTTGTCATGTGTTCCTTCCTGTCCATTGTTTACACTCAGCCGGGGGGTGTTCCCTGCTAGCCCGCGTCACTGTTGGCACGCGAGAGGGGCGGTCAGACAGAAAGGTCCAAGGACAACCTGTTCGGCACGTTTCTCTGTTCATGCCAAGATTCGACAGACTCCAGAGTTCTCGTTCTCCAAATGACAGTTTGTAAGAGAAATGTACATTTTTAAAAACTCTTTGCTGTTCATCTGTTTTTGTTCATTTAACAAAAAAAAAAAAGGGCAAAAAAAAAACCCCAAAACCCTTCAGTTTCCCGGTGTGACCCCAGCTCATGGGGGGGTGCCCCGCTGAATGCTTTGTTGCCTTTAACCATTGAAGAGGGTTGGAATGTGGGCGAAATCCCTGATGGAGGCGCAAGCGGGGGTCGGTGGGTTTGGTGCCACCTGCAGGCGTGTCTTTCGGTCAAACCACACGAACTGGAAAAATTCTTCTCTGAGCGTTTGCTCACTTTCGCACATGTGCACCCGGCTCTGGTGAAGTCGCCAAATGGAACTTTTTCTCCTGTTCTCAAATCTGTTCTGTTTTCCCCATTGCATCCTAGCTCCTTGCTCCTGCTGTCTGCTTCCCTTTTCAGTTTTCTTTTTTTTTTTCCACTTTATTCCCCTCTCTTTTTTTTTTTTTTTTTTTTTTTCGGTTAGTAGTGTGGGAGGAAAGTGAAATCTGCGTAGGGATGGGCTTTGGGGAGAGAGACGATTCACCTAATACTTTGGATCCTCTTCAGGGCCCACGGAAATGTCAGTGAGATCTTAGGGTTTTCAGTTCTGCACAGGCTCTAGTTTGAACAAGGGACCCTCCTCGGGAAGGCGCTAGGAATTGTTTCAACATGGGGGTAAGCAAGCCGGTCACTGCACCCTCTGTACCTGAGGGGTCTTGCTGCTGGAGCCACCCCCGGGGCCGCCCAGGAATTCTTGCACTGGCAGGGGCAGAGCTCTGCTGGCTTCTGTGGGGGGGGCCTGCCTGCTTCTGTGGGGGCCCTGCCTGCCGGGGCCTCCTGGCTGGTTTTCAGACGTGAGAGAACTTGTGCATGTTTTCCATTTTCACAAGCGTTTTGAACTTGATCTTCGTGACTTGTGTTTTTTTAGCTTCTCTCTTGTGGCAGTGACATTACCTTCCTGCGAGGAGTCAGGATTTTCCAGTTAAAAAAAAAAGACGAGAAGGGAACTAGCCCCGTTTCTTTGATGCTTCTCATTTCTCCTTGGTTCATGCAATCCTTGTGAGCCTTTTTCTCGTCCCTGAAACGCTGTATAGTGCATGGTACCCTCATCAATGTTATTTTAACAATAGCAACCCGCAGCCCTAGAAGCCTATTTTCAAACGCAGAAGCAAAAAAATACAAAAATAAAAACAAAAAAAAAATCCCACCAAAAAACCCTCCTCAATTCTCTCTCATTTCACCTTCTGTGTTGATTATACTAATCACCTTAGATATTGTTGCTAGTGGATGTACGGTAGATGGATTGAAGCTTTTCTGATAAATATTACACGATTTAAAACAATATATATTTAAAATAAATATATACAGTAAATGTATTGAGCCATGTTAACCTGCCAATGAGATCTGTGAAAAAGTAACGGCCTCATTTTCCCTTTTTACTTTCTTTTACCTTTTTGTGAAATGGCTACACGTGGCATACATGTATTTAAAAAAAAAATAGGTATAGCGTGGTGTTTTTTTTTACACTTTGAACTTAGCATGTGGTGTTGAAGTATTCGCGTAGATCGAGTGTGTCTTCCTCACCGCGATGTGAGGGAATTGTGATTTGTTCTCTCCACCACGACTGAATTACACATTTATTATCTTCTATCATTTTGAAACACTGCAGTTTACCATGGGACACTGTATATATTTCTTGCCATAATGGTAAATGACTGATTGATATATTTAAGAATTAATAAATTTGTGATTTCTGCTGACAGTGCGGCCTTCCGTCTCATTTCCTAAGCAGCGTGTCTGGGCACAGGCTGGTTCAGAGGGAGGCGGCTGCGGGCCACGCCGTCTGGTCAGGCTCCACATGGTGCTCGTGGCACGTGCATTTGCCACACCCACCAAATCGCTCGCTCTCCTGGGAAAATTTTTCTGAGATCTCGGTAGGTAAAACCGCTGAGAGTCCTGGGAGTTTCTTAACAGTGCCGACCGACCCATCCCTCCCCTGACTGCTGGAATGTTCCATTTTCAACCCAAAGCAGACCACTGTTACCTCCAGGACATGCAAGCGCCTCATTGACCGGCTCAGCTTGACCGCGAGTCTGCAGGAAGGTCAAATTCTTTTATTTTACTAAAAGCATCACACGTCTGTTCGCACTGTCTAGTAGGCAGTTCCCTGCCTAGAATATTTCCCTCGGTTCCTTCAACCTAATTCTTACTCATTCCTTCAAATCCAGGGGAGACGTGCCCCCCGTCATAACCCCCCCAGCCCACACGCTAGGCTGGCGCACCCCCTCTCCAAGCCTGCACACGGTACCCAGGGTCACCCCCACCCCAGGCAGCTCTGGACATACCCCCGTGCCTTCTCCCGGAGGACTGTCGTCTCCCCACAGACGAGCTTTTCCTGTCGCTGTACCCTAAACCCACCCGAGGGCCAGGAAGGAAGAAGCTATACACCGACTGTGGTTGAAACATGGACAAACCACAAAGGGCACTGTCAGGTGGAACCCGCTATCCCAGGGTTCCAAGTTTGAAACACCCAGCAAGGTGCCTCTTCCCTCAGAAGCTCTGTTTCTGCATTTATTGAAAGAAAAAAGCCGTAGCAATTTAAGAAGGATCTCGTGAGGGTTACAGAACGGGGTGCAGGTGCCTAGAATGGCACTGGTGACAGGCCGTGATAGCTGCTCTATATGCCATGCAGATCAAATTCTGTATTTCCTCTGTGTATTCTAGATCACATGCATGTTTTCTACACTCCATATGACACTACCTCTCTGAGGTAACGCATGTTAGCGGTGCTCCGAGCCTCTCCCTTTCTGCAGGTTTGCTGACAAGGACCTATTTGTGGTTCAAACACCCGAGCAGGAAGATGAGAACTCCGGAGCGAGGTTCTAGCCCAAGGTGGGGAAAATGAAAACGGGAGCAAAGGAGGCTCTTCTCGGAAAAATTGTCAAGGAATCTTAATCTCCAATAACCAAAATTTTGAAGCTCTTTAAATAAATGACTCATGTAAAGGCAGGGTACACACAGCCGGCACAACCTTGGAGAGACCGTGTCAAAGGAAACTCCCCTCGCTTGGGCACGCCTCGCTGTTTCCATGGTGTCCAGATGACCCTGGAGCGAGCGCGCGTGCAAGGCCGCGATGACAGCCCATGCACGGAGCCCCTGTCTGTGCAGTCGGAACAGCAGGCGGCCCGCACCCCGCCTCCGCGGGCTCGTCCACCAAATAAAACTGCTTTCTCCCACTGTCGCAGGAAACCGATGGCGGTGGTGGCTGCTCTCACCCAGGACGGCTGGCGTTCTCAAGACTTTCACAGCTTTTCAGCAGAGTCCAACATGCCTGGATTGTCCATTAAAAGTGTTTTTAGCTCCTTTTTCCACGTTGTTAAAAGTGGGTGTCTCCCATAATGTCAGAATGTCTCGCAGACCAGATTCTGAATCGTAAGGTTCTGCCCCGCGGGCCCTGTCTACGCCAGGGGGAACCCCAGAAAAGCCAGAGACCTAGCGCCCCCGCCCAGGCTGCGCACTGACTGCTGGATGACCTTGGTGGTGCGACTCTGCAGCGCCTGATGTTGGGGAGCAGCCCTCAGAGAGCCTCAGCCCAGCCCGAGCCGCCCCCAGCACCCGCCTCCGGCAGCGCTCTCCAGCAGGCCCCCGGCGCCGAGGCCCGGTGTCACGTCAGCTTCATTTTAACCAGAAAACCAAGATGCACAGAGGCAAGTGCATGGCAGGAAATCCTCCCGAGGCACCGTGCAATTCAGTAAAGGAAGATCAGCTACTAGTTTAACACGAAATCCTTTGTTTTTAGGCCAGTCTCAATGTTTTTGATGGGAAACCGAAGTCGGATCATTTGTGCTGCCTGGTCTACACAGGTGACACGGGATAAACTGAGCCATTCATACACATCCCAGCCAACGCTCTCTTCCTAGCCAGAAGCTTCGAGCCTGCGCCGGGGAGGAGTCAGGCGGCTCTCCGCGGGGTCAGAGGGGCCTGGCTCCGCGGCGAAGACCCACCGCCGCTACTCTCTCAGCTCGGCCTAAGTCAGTTCTTTACCAGGTTATTAGCATGAAACTCCCACGCTTCCCGTCTCCCCGTGGGGGGGCACACACGCATGGGCACCCCCTGTCTCTCGGGGCATGGCTGTGCTCCCGGGAGGGGCCAGCACACACCTGGCTGGCGGGTCTCGCTGTGCAATCCTGCCACTCGCCGCTCACCTGGCTGTCCAGGCTGCCTGGCAATCTAGCTTCCTCACCCTCCGCGCTTCTCTCGTACCCACACTTCTAGCCCCTCCTGATCCAGCAAGGACCTTGCTTCTGACTTCCCGCAGGAAGTGACGCCATCTCTGCCCCCAGCTCCCCACCCGCCTCCGTGGTGAGGACATAACGGTTCACGCACCCGGCAGCACCAACTAGGCCTCCTCGGCCTCTTCGGCCTCCTTACAAGCCCCGCGTCGGCCTAGCATTATAAATCCCGACTCCCCGTGTCTTTCCTGTATTGCCAGACTCCTGGAAACCGCCGTCTGCACCTGCTGCTGCAGGGTCTCCTGGTCCCCTGAAGCTGCCTCAACCGCCTTTACCAGCCACTGAGGATTTTCCCCCAAAGCCTCCAGTGTTCTTAGTTCCAAGATCAACTCTCAGTCCTCATTGTACTGACGTCTCAGCAGCAACCCGGGCATTTATGGTCTCAACCCTGAGCCACACTCCTCGTGTCCCGCACGTGGGCAAGTGGCTGCCACGCCAGACGGCCCTTCCCAATCTCTAACTGGCCCCCTTCATCCATGTGACTTTGGAATTTTAGATCTTTTTTATTTATCTATCGTCACTCACTCCCAGGATTACCGCATCCAATGCCAGTGTCTTAAGGCCTAGAACTCACTTGTGTGTGCTTCTCTCCCTTGAGCTCCTCCCACTGAACTCCTACCACCTCCCTCAAGTCTGCACCGATGGTTATCGGGTAGCAAATGTCCACATCTGAGCTCCAGGAGCTCTGTGCAAAAGCTGCACCTGTTTCTGTTCTTTTTTATCTCTCAAGAGCCGGTGACTCAGTTCTTCCTTTCATCAGGCCAGAAATCTTGGCGTCTTTATAAATTCCACTCTTCCTACTGGACATCTTGACATCTTCACCTTCTCCATAAAGGCAGAGAGGGAACACTTCTCCTAGGCCTCCGCTACCTCTTCGACCAAATCGCCACCATATTGTCTATGTTCTTGAAATGTTCCTCTACCTGTCCTTTCAATTTCTGCTCTTGTCCCTCTTGCATTTATTCTCAATGCAGCATCCAGAATGTTCTTGTCAAAATATAGGTCAGATCATGTCCCTTGTCTGTTCAGAGTCACCCAAGCGTATTTGTAGGTGAACAAACCGATAGCTGCCCTCCTCTTTCACCGTCACAAAGACCGAGGCTCCCAGCACGTGAGTCACCTAAGTCACTCAGGGGTTGGAAACTGCCTCATCATAATTACTTGAAAAAGTACAAGGAAATTCTGCTATAGTGAAAGAACAAGGTTTGAGCATCAAAGCACACATTCTGGAACCTGTTTAGGCTGCAAATGCAATCCCAAATGTCTTGCTAAAGAAAATACTGTTCAGCAGCTCTTCCCGCCTGCTTATGAAGTGGCTTTTACTTTTCTGTCCCTTTTCTAATAAACCAGCTCTTTATTTATTTATTTTAAGATTTATTTATTTATTTATACAAGCACTGGGTACAGTCAGAAGCGCGGGAGGGTGAGAGAATCCAGAGCGGGGAGCAGAGCAGGCAGAAGGACCGAAGTACACTGCTGAGGGGAGCAGCGGACGGCAGGAGAGGTCTGCGCGCCATGTGGGACCCTCCTCCGGTGGCCGGGGAGCAGCCGGGGATCGAACCGCTGCGCTGCAGAGGCTGCGGGCAGCTTAGCAAACCCAGCGCTCAACTGCTGCGCCACCGGGGAGGCCCTAAACCAGCTCTTTAAATATATTAAAAAAGAGAAAAAGAAAATATTGTTCACAACGAGTTAGATGTGCAAGCTCCAGGCTCGTGTGTCTCAACATCAAAAGGAAACAAGATTCCTCCGTGTTCATCCTGCCTTCCGAGAAGGCCCTCTCTATTCTCCGGGTTCAAAGACCTCTTGTCTCCTTTGCTCGTGTCACCTCCGGGCGGGCTGGTGGTGTCCAGAGAAGAGCACCTGCCGTCCCCCACCACCGCCACCCCCAGCACCAGGTCACACGCCTTCCCCTGGGAGCTGCTGATCAGGCTTGAGCCGGGGGCCACTGGGGGGCTCCTTCCCTTGACCGGGGGTTCTCGCGGGAGGGTAGGCGGCTGGACAGTCTGCACTGCAGGGCTTGCTCTCCAGAAAGTGGGGGCATCTGCACTGTCTGGTGTAGTTAAATGCAGGAGAGAACAGCAGATAACTTTTTAATTTCCCCTTTAAAGCTGCTACTCGAAGCATGGAAAGAGGTCAGTGGCGGCTGCACACAGACTGTTCTCTCTAGAACCATCGCTACTTTTTTTTTTTTTTGCCCTTGAAAGCTGCTATTTGCATATCATCAGAGAGGGGAAGAAAATATTACTCAGCAATCAAGAAAGATAAACTCATGCCATTTGCAGCAACATGGATGGCGCTGGAAGGGATCATGCTCAGCGAAATAAGCCAGAAAGAAAAAGAAAAATACCGGATGGTCTCACTCATAGCAGGAATCTAGAAAACCTAAATAAGGACCAGGAAAAAGACTAACTATATAAAGAAAAAAATCAACAAGCAACTACAAACCAGAGACACACTATGTGGG